AAGACCTGACATTCGTTTGGGATCCAGAGAGAAACATGTCTTCTTCTGGTTAGTGTCGGGAAAGACCAAAAAAGAAAGGATACAAATCATTAACTCTTTCTCTTTCTTTTTTTGCACGTGTATGGCGATGGATCTGGAGCCCACGGATGGGAATCATCGAGAAGAGAATCCCTCCACCCTACTAACCCTTGAAGCTACGCTGGCCATCGCTAATAAGGCTGGAGGCCATCACTATTAGGTTGGGAGGCCATCTCTATCAGCCGTCGCTCTGAGGTTCTAATCAGATTCTAAGTCTATTTCTTGTTTCTAATAGCGAACATTGTTCCTAGTAGCGCCAGGAGCCCCGCTCTGCCCCGTTTGCATTCATCGTGCCTCCGGCCCTGGCGGCTCTGCAGTGGTGGGCTCGGAATCCTGCGGACGCCGTGCGCGTTGCATGTGACGACGACCTGCCCCAAGTGACCCGGTGGGACAAGTACAGTTTTCGTTAGTGTCAAACTGAAATCGGCAAAGAGATGAGATGAGGGTGAGATGTTTCGACGGCTTTTGAATGCCTCGCACAATCTGAAAAATGAATAGCTGAAATTATTTGAAATGTGCGTTCGATGTACCGCTTCGCCGTGCTTGTCAAGTCTGGACGTCCTGTGGTCCAAACACAGCTTCCAGATTTTGATACTTAAGCTTCCTTACAAAGAACGGAAAGGTGAGGAAAAGAACGGTCCAAGGGTCTTTGAAGAAAGACACATTCGCTTTAAAAGAAAGACAAAGAACAGAAAAAAGTTGGCCACAAACAATGGTGCTATCTTGGGCTACGTGCTAAAGAGTTTTGGCCGAAGGACTGTCATTGCCACAACAAACTAGACGACGGTTGGCCTGAGAGCGAGACATGTAATTGTCCAGCACTGTCGAAAACATGTATAGAAAGAGAGAAAGAGAGGGTGGATGTGAAGGAGTGACAGTGTGGATGTGCAGGTGCGATATAGATCTGTAGATGTATGGAGGTGGAGAGGTAGATCTGTGGATGTGAGCGTGCGAAGATGTAAATGCACAGAGACGAGAGAAAAGATATGTAGAAAGAAAGAAAGACAGGACAGATGTGAAGGAGCGACAGTGTGGATGTGGATGTACAGATGTGATATAGATGTGCAGATGTGTGGGTGTGGTGAGGTGGAGAGGTAGATCTGCGGATGTGAGCGTGTGAAGATGTAAATGTAGAGAGGTGAGGGGGTGTAGACGTAGATGCGTCGATGCAACGGCAGCGCAACGTCAACCTTAGTTGTGCAAGTACAAGGCTGAAGAAGTTCAAATAGAACTGAAGAACGTACATTTCACACTGAAGTTTCCAGGAACAGGGCGACCTGAGAGTAAACGACGTCACGATCATGACAAGCGACTCGTGTATTCCAAGCGAACATCGTTTGTCATGAAGGTGAAGTACACACATACAAACGTCACGATGACTCTTTTGTGGCAGCCACTTATGAGTAAGCAAGGTAGCTAAAATTGGTCAACCTCTCAAGAGAGCCGGGTGGTCGGGAGACATGACTCAGCTGCAGGGGCGCCAGAGCAGCCGCGAGAGATGACTCAGCCGCGAGAGATGACTCATCCGCGTACCTAAAGTTGTACTACAAAGTCGCCAGTTCTCAGCTTCCAGCTCCCCACATACGCGCGCAAGTGGGACTTATCGTGCTGTCATCTGCATTTCGCGCGCTCGACACGCACGATCTCCGCAGAGGGTTGCGTTTCGTGGTGCTCCGGCGGAACCGCCCCCGGCCTTAAGAGAGAAAGTTAAGAAGAGCGAGAGGTGAAGATGTGAGATGTAGATGTGAGGATGTGAACATGAGCAGAGATGTAGATGTGAGGATGTGAAGATGAGCAGAGATGTAGATGTGAGGATGTGAAGATGAGCAGAGATGTAGATGTGAGGATGTGAAGATGAGCAGAGATGTAGATGTGAGGATGTGAAGATGAGCAGAGATGTGCAGATGAGCAGAGATATAGGTGAGAATGTAGATGTGCGGAGGTGAAGATGTGAAGATGTAGATGAGACATAGTTCTGCAGATGTTTTTTAACGAAGAACCCTTCGCAGACGCTCTCGGGAAAAAATAATGTGGAGCCTCGAAGTTTAGCAAGGGAGGGTTGACAGAAGACCGAAAGTCTTGAACTAAAAAGAAAGCCATTCAGACATCCATCTCAGTCGCCCAAATCCACCTTTGCCTGGCCCGAGCCTTCTGAACAAAACCCTGAACATGTCCCACATGGATGTGAGTTGTCCTGCCCGTTGTCTGAGAGATAGGGCCGTGTCAAGCCCAAATCTCACAGTTCCGTGGTTAAGCTTCCCTAAATATCTAGGAGCAAGAAGCTACTAGGGGCTCCTGGCATCGCTGCTAGGAGCAAGGACGCTACTAGGGGCTCCTGGCCTTACTACTAGGAACAAGAAGCTACTAGGGGCTCTTCTTCAGTGCGAGCGCTCTTCAAGGAAGCTCCCCCCCCGCCGCCCTAAAGGCGGTGGGTGAGCTTCCTTGAAGAAGCCTGAGCTATCCTGCGTCCAAGGTAGTAGCTTACTTGTAGGCACCAGCTACCTCAGTTCCTTACTTAATTATATAAGTAGGCAACTACTTAACTAAGTAGGGACGGGCGGGAAAGCGGGCAAAAAAACAGAAACCAAAAGGTCCTTTCATTTTTCCGTTTCGACCTTTCCTCTTTCCTCCCTTTCGGCCGAAGAGTTTGCACAGCTTGCCGCTCTGGGGCCAATCCTGAATCTCCTCGAAGGAGGGCTCTTCTTCATCCTGAAGCTTGGAGAGAACGAAAAGAACGAAGAAATGAACAATGACAATGAAATGAATTAAAACATTAAATAAAACAACATTGAAATAAGAGTTTTTGAGCACCTTAGAAATTGAACAAGTTGAAACACTCTTCATTCACTACAACACCGAAAGGGTCCTTTCTGGTAATTCAGTGGAGCAATGTGTATGTGACGTTCGACTGTTGTAAATGGAGCGCAAACAGATCCTTGAAAGCTTTCTGTAGGGCGGGCACATGTGGAAACGCAAGCACAATCTGCTCAAGTTCTGCCTGCCTTGCCTCGCCTCGCCTTGCCTGTTTGTCTGCCTGTTCCTTCCTTCTTAAGGGCTTCACAATCTGTCATACCCCAAACACCTTGCTTCGAGTGTCGATTCCTTTTCCAGCTCCATGAGACAAATTTGATGGTGGACATCTGTCTCCCACTGTCAAAAGGGTGGTCTTTGATGGTCTTGTCTCGGTTCCTTTCTTGCGGCCCCTAGTAGCGTTCTTGTTTCTAGTAGCGATGCCAGGAGCTCCTAGTAGCGTCCTTGCTCCTAGTAGCGTCCACGCGCGCGAAAAGGTCCTAGTAGATTCCTTTGCTTCTAATTCTTCTAATTCAAACTTATTTCTAATTACTTTTAATTCTATTCTTGTTACTAGTAAGGCCGCTCCTAGTAGCGAAGCTTGTTACCCTGTGCTTGGATGTTCGGGACTCGTTGTGTCCTTCGGAAAGGGTGGCCGCAGTAGTCCCTCGCGCAGCTTCTCCCAGTTGATTGGCCTAGAAGGCAAGGTCCAAATTGCAACGGTGTTACACGGTGTAGTGGAATTGAAGCTCTTCTCAAAGCTACCAAAAAGGTTGGTAGGAAAGCCTTCTGCAAATGAAGCATTCTTGCTTGAAGCACGAGGTATTTGTTGAACCCAAGGCCATTGCAAGTGGCAACAACGGGGGACCATTCAAAACGAGAATGGGTGGTTTCATTGGACGATCGTGAGTCACCCTCTGTCGAGGATTTGGTCTAACCGAGGTTCGTTCACTTTGTCATTTCATCACTTTGTTAGTTTCCCTAAAAATCTAGGAGTCTAGGAACCAAATCATTAGTGCGTGAGCTATCCTGCGTCCTAGGTAGTAGCTACCTGTTCTACTAGCTACCCACCTATCGGCCTACCTTCCGGGCTAAAAACAAGAAACGGTTCTCCATGTGTTGGAAGTCTCGCGATTCGTCTCGATTCATCCAATGCTACTCACGGGTTGAGCATCGAAGACGGGCCGGTGTCCCTCCGTATCCCACTTGTGGGAGTCCCACACTCGACTTCTGTACCTGTACAGAACTGGCAGAACTTCAGTCGCTAAATATCACCAAACAGAAAAAAATAACTGCGATGAACCAACGTGGAGGTGTGGGAGGGCTTCACACTCTTTCTCCCCAAGCCTAGGCTCTCACTTGCCGAAAGACCCCTCCTCTCTTCCACTGCAGCTGTGCTGCTTAAAGAAGGCATGGCCTTGGATTGTGTGAGTGTCCTCAGGAAAGGCAAGACAGGCATGACACAGTTCTGAGTTCTGGGCTTGACAAGATATAGAAATTAAGGGCCATGAGGGGTAGTGCAAGGAGTGCTGGTTAGGGGTATCAGAAGTGGTTGGAGGTAGCATGAGGTAGCAATGACTTGGTGATCACCCTCAAGATTCTACATAGCACGGGAAAGATGAAGCGTAAAACTCACTCCTCCTCCCGAGCTTGTCGTGTAAACCTTTATCCCCTAGAGAGACCACAGCTCCTTATGTGAATGCTCACAATGAAGGAACACTGCGTTGGCGGGCCAAGAACAAACACAGACCTGTTGAAATTGACAACGAGCCATCTGGTTCAGAAAGGGGCATGCTGAAAAACCATGAAGAAACCCGAAAACCAACGAATCCAATCTACACCTCGTATCACGCCACTGTTGAGGCGTTTTTTCGCACAGCAAGCCCTTTGGGCCAGCAATTGACAGCCCGTTTGTTCTCTTGAGCATGACGTCGCACAAAAAACGTGGAGAAGTTTCCTTCAAACAGGAATGGAACTGCACTTCTTCTGCATGAAGTGGCACCCCTCTATTCTCTACACCTTGTGCAGCTGTTCAATGCTCAAGAAGTTCCGGACACAATCCCCGGCGTCGACCTCTTCACAAGAAACTGCGACCTTCCCAAGGAAGTTTGAAAACGGAGAGTCTTGAAAATCGAAGATCTTTTTCGACACCGGGCTATCTTTACAGCTCCCATTTGGGACGCAAGCTGATCGCGGTGACAGGTGGCGCCTAGCCGGTCAGAGGGCGATGGAGGTCCTGAGAAGCGAAAAAGGCACGAAATCATCGTGTTCGGTTTGGAAAGAAAGAAAGAAAACTTAGAGAAAGAAAAAAAACAGAAGGGAAGGGAAGGGAAGGACACTATTTTCAAACCAGCACACGTGCAAAATCATGTTCTCTGATAACTCTGTCGTGGATTCCAACAGCCCACCCCACATTTTTGCCCTGGCGGTCCTTCTCATCTCACTGTCAAAGCTCGCTCGGACCTTGAGACGACCCACGATCGGGCCGGGTAGAATCGATTGCTGAACCTTCCCTGCCGAGCCATTTCTTGATGTGATGTGAAGATCCCATGCATATTGGAAGTTTTGATCGATCTGGTAAAGAGGGAGGTGTGCAGAATTCAGATGTTCCTCAATTCTCCATTCTTCAGCTACACAGCTGCAGACCAGACCGCAGTGTTCACCCAGTAAGATCTAAGTGGGGCGGTAACGCTAGATGTTGATTCCCAAACAACATGTCCAAGTGGTAAAAGGGGTGGATATGCTGATTCAAACAAATAATGAAGAAAGAAAACAACTCTGAAAGGTCTAAAGAAAACAAGAAATCACACAAAAACATCGAACGTGCTCCACTTGTTCGTGACATTCATCCTTTCTTTCTAAGAACCTCTTATATATTCTTCCTTTAATTCCTTTTAGAACCTTCTTATCCTTTCTCCTCCTGTCGCTCCTTTCGTCCTTCATTGGTGACTTGACGACCTCACGTCCAAGACACTCAGTTTCAGCCTTCCCGAGCACCTCCTCCGCAAAAATAAGAATGAATACATGTATATATACACATATTTTACATATAGCCTCTTAGTAGAGGTAGTAGCTAGTAGTAGCTAGGGAGGTAGTAGGTAGCTAGTAGCTTACTAGTACGCTACACTAGCTACTGGACGCAGGACAGTGCACTCTAGATGTTTAGGAAAACTTAACAATAGAACAGTTCGCAGTTCGCGGTCGTGGAGTTCACTAAGGCGAGTGGGGTCTGGTCCGCAAATAGATCAGTCAGCGGCACAAACAAATTGACGCGTGGGCTTCTTTTAACCCCTGCTTCAGCACTCCAAAAGATGAAGACATTTTGTCCATCTCCTTTTTCAAGATACACCCCAGCCTCCACGGAGTAGCTCTCTCTGTCTGTCTCTGCATCTCTCCGCTGTCCTGTCGGGCGCTCAGGGCCTTTTCCAGCTTGGCCTTGTTGAATTTCCGCTCCACCTCAGCTGAGTCAGCTGACGAACACGGGCTGACAAGGAACTTGTACTGACGCTTTGAACCTGCATGAAAGTAAACAAACCTACTCTTTTAAGCAGTGCTTGAACACGGCCTCGTGTACGATGTCTTTAGTTTGAATTGCTTGTGCTGGAGGGTCCACCACCTCTTAGCGAGACTGGATCCCAACGCCACACAATGCCACTTGTAGGGCATGGAGAGATTTTCAAGACCAGTAGAAGTGAATTCAATCACAGCTAATCAATCATACACTCTTTCCAAATAGAAAGAAGCGAGTCGCCCTTGAATATGATCATACGCATCAGAAGCACGTTTCCATGCCAACCGCACGTCAACAATCTGGCCTCGTTCATCTGATCGCGGGCGTAGCGTGAAGGTACTTCCTCATTCCTGGCATGCGCAAAGCATACCTACTAGCGATGGCCTCCAACCTACTAGCGATGGCATGCGCAAATGTGTGGAATCAAGATACTGCAATGATGTTCACAAAAACGGCCCGTTGAGCACGACACGGATCATGCCCAAACTCTGTAAACCCATCCAGTCTTTGGCATCGAAATCCTTTGAGATAGATGTCGGATTGACATGGTTTGAAAGCATATGCACTTGCTACTAGTAGCTTCTTGCTACTACTAGTAAGACACTTGTTCCTAGTAGCGATGCACTTGTTACTA